TCTGGGACCTGGGTTTGAGTCTCCGCCTGGGTCACATGTGCGTGGAGTTTGCATGTTCTCCCCATGTCGTCGTGGGGTTTCCTCCAGGTACTCCGGTTTCCCCCCACAGTCCAAAGACATGCTGAGGCTAATTGGCATTGCTAAATTGCCCTTAGGTGTGCATGTGTGAGTGAATGGTGTGCGAGTGTGCCCTGCGATGGGCTGGCCCCCTGTCCAGGGTTGTTCCCTGCCTCATGCCCGTTGCTTCTGGGATAGGCTCCAGACCCCCCACGACCCAGTAGGATAAGCAGGTTGGACAATGGATGGATAGTTGGAATGCAGATGAGCTCTTCTCCTGTGTCTATTAGGAATTCAACATCATGCTCTCCCAATTTTATACTGGGATAAAGTCCATCGCCTTTTTGCTCCAACAGTGCCAGCAATGGCTGTAGAGCAGGCACGTCTAGTTTTTTGGCTCGATGGCACTCAGGAGCCATGTCTTCTGCTCCAGTGTCAGCTGTTGGAACCTTGCATTGATGTTTGCCTCATCAGTGCAATTTTCTTTGGTTCCAGAACAGCCATTTCCCTTGGAACGGCAGGTTTTTGCCCAATGGCCTGTTTTGCCACATATATTACACTTTCCCTTAGCTCTGTCATTCTTCCTTTTCCCCATCCTTTCAAGTTGTGCCATTCTGATCCTAGTTACAATGTAATTTTCAATATTGGCAGCTAAGCGGACCAGTCTGCTCATGTCTGCATCTTCCGTCCAGTCTGGAGGGTATCAACCATTACTTGAGACGTAGTGCTTGGAGATACCACTGTTGGTGCTGCACTGGGATCAGTCACTGATGTAGTACTCACAGTCACCACTGGGGGAGCACTCATCTTTTTGCTTCTTTTTTCCATTGTGGCCTTTAATTCTTCCGTCAGTGTGAGGCGCTGTTCTTTCCGATCCTTCTTCTGACCTTCAGCAGGATGCAGCCGCTCTGCTGGCATGGGCGCTTGTGGAGGAGGGGGTGCAGGAGGGACAGGTGGAAGAGCAGTCACAGGCAGGGCTGGTGTTGGAGGAGGAGGAGGAATAGGTGGAGTCACCCATGTGGTTGCTCCACCCCCCAGGGGTCGCTCAGCGTTTCCTGCATTCGAAGCCATTTGCAGCTGATTTGTTAACAAAGTAATATGATTTTTATTCATCTCGGCTCTACAGTTCGCTAACTCCCTCAATAAAGCATCTCTCTCCTCTTCTACCCTTGCCAGCGCAGCATCACACGTGCAGCTTGCTCTTCTGCCAGCTCTCTCTCTCTGTCAGACAGCTGTTTGTTCTTTTCATGGACAACATCAGTTAAAGCAGCAACTTGCTCATGCAAACTTTTCTGTTCTCGGCCAGCGTTAGTTTTTGCAATCACGTCTTTCCAACGACGAATCTGACCCAGCACAACAAGTGTCCATTGCAACCGCCTTTTCCCATCTCCGATGTGCTCTGCTTTTCCCCATGCTCTTCGCATGTCATCCAAAGACCAAATGCCACCTGAATCTGTATTGATAGTATTATTTCTCAAGGATGGCAGCAGCTGTCGACTTCAAACATCAAGCTGTGTCCAGATATTCACTGAGATTTTTCATCATATACTCCACATCAACATCTGGAGGCTCCATTCCTCCCTTATCAGTCGGCCTTGCAGAAACATTAATTCTACTGCCAAATTTCTTAGATAAGGCCATGTTTGATGGAACAGCCACAGATTATGAGCTGTAAACTCTGATTTTCCCAAACAGTAAACGGCGAAAGCACTGTTTCGTTCTCCTGTTTTTTCCCGAACAGTAAACGGCTGTTTTTTTCCCAAACAGTAAAACGGAAAAACTCTTGCAAGAAAATGCTGTTTCTATCCCGTTACAGCAACGGAAAAACTTCTTTATAGTCGACTTATCTTTTTTGAGCTCACAACAGATATCTCACAATTAGTTACGTTCACTTCTTCTTCATCAAACAACTCTCTGATCGGGGGTTTGAGCAGGAGAGAGGTTATTTTCAACCTTCAGCCAATGACAGGAGGAAGATCTTACCTCAGCTGATTTGCGCGCTTAACTGTTGTCTTCAGTCATCCAGCATTAATTAGTCTCTCGGCCTTGTCTCTCACCGATCCTGTTCATGACGCCAACTGATACATTTCTTCAATGAACCCTCATGTTCTTTTAGGTGAATGATGAGGCAGGTTCCTTAAGCCTAAGCAGTTTATTAAGACAGAATGAAGATGTTATAGAAAGATATTTCACACGGCCGGTTCAGTGTCTGTCTGTGTCTGTCTCTGCCCCCCCTGAGGGAAGCAGCCCCTTTATCTATGGTCTGGAGCCGGGGGGTCAGACGGCCTTGGTGAGAGTAAGTTGTATGAGAGGCAAAGAACATGATGAGCAAATAGCAAGGACAGAAAGAAATATAAAAATAAGAAATATGAAAGCTATAAATAATACTGAATGAACATAATTAAATAACTACAAATTAACTAGGGAAATCCCTCACATCTGACCATTTTTGGAGTGTGTCTGTGGGGTTTTGCCCATTCATCCAGAAGAGCATTTGTGAGGTCAGACATGGATGTCGGCCATGAAGTGCCCTGTTGGCTCCTCGTGATCATATAGTGATTAGTACTCTGTGTTGTGGCTGCCACAACCTCGGTTTGAATCCGAGTTACTGCTTAGTTAGACAATGTCATGGCATATAGACGCCTATGTTTTGATGCCCACTTTTGTGGGCAGCAGTGGCTTAATGGTTAGGGAAGCACACTTATAATTGAAAGATTGCTGGTTTGAGTCCCCAACCAGCAAGGTACTGCTCCCTGGGTGCTGAATTAGCTGCCCCCTGCTATGTCACAGTGTCACATATGGGTTAAATGCAGAAGACACATTTCGTTGTTGTGCACTGTGTGCTGTGGTGTGTCAACAATGACCACTGATCACCAAATTCTAAATTCTAAATCTGAATGCTGGGCTCGCAATCTCTGTTCTCCCAAAAGTGTTTTATGGTGTTAAGGCAGGGCTCGGTGCGGGCCAATCAAGTTCTTCCACACCAAAGTCACCCAAACATGTCTTTATGGACCTTAATTTGTACACTGGGGCACAGTCATGCTGGAACAAAAAAGGGTCTTCCCCAAACTGTTCTCACAAAAGTTGGAAGCATAAAATCATCCAAAATGTTTTGGTGTGCTGAAGCATTAGGAGGTCCCTTCACTGGAACTAAGGGGCCTAACCCAGCCCTTGAAAAACAATCTCATACCATTATCCCTCCACCACCAAACTTTACAGCTGGCATACTGTGGTCATGCAGGTAACGTTCTCCTGACATCTGCCAATCCCAGACTTGTTCATCAAACTGCCAGACAGAAAAATGCATTTCGCTACTCCACAGAACACGTTTCTGCTGCGCCAGAGTTCAGTGACGGCGAGCTTCACACCACTCCATCTGACGCTTGGCATTGCGCTTGATGATATGAGGCTTGCATGCAGCTGCTAGGCCATGGAAGCCCATTCCATGAAGCACCTGCCGCAATTTTTGTGCTGGGGTTAATGCCAGAGGATGTTTGGAACTCTGCAGTTACTGAGTCAACAGAGCTTTTGCGACATATACAGCACTCAGCAACCCAGCTTTGTAACTTTATGCAGTGTGGCACTTCATGGCTGAGTTTCTGTTGTTCCTAAAATGCTTCCATTTTGCAATAATACCACTTACAGACTTTATAGACACCCTGCGCGCATATATATATATATATACACACACGTTTAGAGATGAAAGGTAAAAAAAGAGGGAGGTAATTAAGAAGAAGTACACAGTGATTTCATGTTTTAACAGAATGCTACACACACACACACATACAAGTTGGTCTTCCTATCTAAATGGGGACCGTCCATTCATTTCTATGGGAAAAACCCTAATGCCAATCACGACACCCTTAACCCTTACCCAACCCTAACCTTAACCATAGGTAACCAACCCGAATACTACTTTTGGCATTTTTACTTTTTTGACTGCATTCACAGATTTTTATTAAACTGAGGTTATCCAAATGGGGACCTCAAAAGATGTCCCCAAAAGTAAGGAAATTTCAGGTTTTACTACACTTTGGGGACAATTTGGTCCTCAAATGTGATCTATGCAAACCCACACACACACACACACACACACACACATATGCACCTATTCCAAGATATATTGAATATTCACTGTAAGGTTTTGGCAAATTTGTAATTTTGCAGCATTCTTTATGAATGACAAAAAGAGTCGCAGAAAATTCGTTAAATACACCATGGCTGTTCAAATACCAACTTCAGTAATGAAGGCCTATTCATAGAAAGACAAGGTCAATGGCGCCATCTTTTGGCAGTTCATGATACGAAATTAGTTACTGTATTTTCCTTTTTGGAATATCTGCTATTACTGCTTAGGTGATTGATCTCAGGCAGCTGGTGCCCACCTTGGACGGGATGCTAGTCCATCACACAGCACATATATGCACCACGACAAATTTTAAAAGACCACACACATCTTTGTACTGGGAAAAAGTTCTATAATGAAAGGCAGTAAACTCAAAATGTAAACCTGGTCATGGAAATAGCCTTACTCGGCCACATACGTTATTTACTAATTACATGTATATGCGAACTAGATAGTGATAGCCCAGTAAAATCCTCATTCTGCACATGAATGACGTCACCTCTGTGTCACCTGTTTTATTACGCATGACCTCATTGCTAACTAGACCAGATAGGTTTGTTTCTTCAAATAGATTACAGATTAACAAGTCATATACTGTGCCTGGTGGTTCGTTTAGCCCTGTATCACCTACGATACTATGTAACTACGAAAGCAGCTACCACTTCGATAAAACAGTGCTGAGTCTCTATCCAGCTGCGCTGTTCAGCACCGCGGAGAGCAGCACCTCCGTAAGGGGCGGAGACATGGGAGGGAGTTATCGCGATTGCTACGGGGATATCTGATTGGCTCATCCCGCGGTGACAGACCTGTGACGGACAGCGGATTGAGGTAGCCAAGCATTTAGATAATCCTTTGACTCTCACCTTCGGTTTGATCGATTTCAATGTAACGGGCGCAGCAGGCACGTGTCGGCAGATTAAGCATTTTATTCGCGCATCTGATGAAAAGTATACATACAGAATAGCATACAGTTAGGGGACCTTGCATTGTAGCAACATTCCTGCGCTGAGAAGGAGGTAAGAAGATTACGTTGGATGTCCAGTGTAATTCCAGGCTCCAAACCCTTAGGTCATTCCGCTGTAAGACTGCCAGCCGGAGAATCATAATAGGAGAATCACAGATTATTGTTTTGTGTCTGACTTGTGCATGCTCCAGCTATGCCGAAATTAATTTATTTTTGGTCTGTTTTTGACTTTGCCGTTATGCGGTCTTCGGCTATGCACTAACACGACGTGTGTAGTGGTTGTGAATCCCCCCCCCTTTTAAAATGTGCGACAGTGATGACTGTTCAGAGGTCTTTTTTTCTGTTTCAGGCCCACTCGAATTTGCAGCGAAATCATGCACATTCAAAGACAGCTTTACGATTTGCAATATTTTCATCTCACTTATTTCAACAACAAAATGGCTTAACGCGTAAAAGGGGCCATCTGCCGGGTATAGGATATATGTAGTGTGATGTGTTCTGTTTATGTCAGGATGGCATGTACGCCTTTGCACCCCTTCCACATAAGGTTTGGGTATGGGGTACTGTGTTTCCTCTGCTACAATGATGGATCTTTATTTTCATTTTTGTCAGCTTCAGGAAAGAAAAAAGAAAGCTATTAAGAGACTAACCAGAGGAATACATCCAGTTTACTTAATGGCAGGTAATACTGTGAAATATTTTTAAATGTTGTTGAATAATGTGTGGAATTCTCAGTATTTAGACAATGACTAATTATGAAAATATGTTAACACTTCCTGATAAAACTTGTAATAGTCCTGTTAAATGCTGAGACTGTCATGCTGTATAGCATTCAGTTATCCCACAGTGTTGTAAAGTTGTAAAGTTACTGTCCTGTTTGTGGCAGAAAACAACTTCCCTCCTCTGCCTGGGTTCATTCCCGTGAAGCCATGCTTCTACCAGGACTTCAACGAAATCCCCGAGATGCACCGAACCATGTGCAAGAGGCTCTACCATCTGTGGATTTGTGAGTAGACATTCGCTGCAGGCTGCTGGCATGTTTGTGTCTGTTCTGCTCTCCTTCACCAGGCTCATAGGGTCGGTCTTGTTACTTTTTTAACAGCATCCAGTCCTTCAGGTGTCGATACTGCAATGCATAGGAAACTGGGAGTCATTCTGGTAAAAATAAAATTTGTGATGTCAGTCTCTGAATGTCTTTCTGTCTTATCAGACTTTGTTGTCGTATTGGCCTTTTACTTTTTTACAGATCTGCTGCATAAGTCTGTAAAAAGGTATCCTGTATCCTGTCTCTTTTGTTTTTCGGGGTGATTACTGTTTCCGTACACAGTGAGCGATTTTGGCTTGTGCCTGCCTTCAGACTTTTGTGGTGCTGTGGTCTTGATTTTCTTTCACTAACTCTCTTCTATGATTAGCTTGCCCTCTGCTCTTGTGTTACATTATGAGGTGTGATGTAAACTACGTGCACTCTAAGTGTAATTTAATAAGAATAGTTTGACTGCCGTGAAGCAGGGGCCCATTACTCCTCTGGATTATAGAATGGATTATTGCACAGAGAGAAATGTTCTGTCAGAACCAGCAATGAATGTTAACAGTTAAATGCCAAACTACATAAGCGTCACAGTTTTTCACTCATTTCACTTCCTGTGTCTTTGACCAGTAAAGTGAAAATTCAGTGGGATAGGGATTTATAAGGCTGGGTCTTCCCTTTAGCTCTCTGTTGAGTCCTCGAGAGAGACCTCAGCCAGCTCTGTGTGTTTCTGGGGCTGCTGATTCTGTATCCCATGTTATGGGTGGTCCGCTGAGAACATGCTGTCTGTGCTCTTGCAGTAAACAGTACCACTCTGGCCGTCAATTTGATTGGCTGCTTTGCCTGGATGTGTGGGGGAGGAGGAGCCACCAACTTTGGGATGTCCATCATCTGGCTCATTCTCTTCACACCCTGCTCCTATGTCTGCTGGTTTCGACCAATCTACAAGGCCTTCAAGTATGTGGGTTACACCAGGGCTTGGATGTTCCTCCAAAAGATCCATTGTTTGCTTCTAGCCCTTGCTTTCTGTTTGCACATTTCAGGGCTGCATGATATCACTTTGCGATGTAATAGTGATTATGTGCCACATGTGCAATAATCACCAGAGCTATAGATGACGGGCAAAACATTTGTGCGAATGCCTGCTTTTCGGTACGATATGGAGTTTACTTGTGCTCACAATTTGGTCAGCAGATTAGTAGTGCTCCTAAAATAATAACGAGAGGCATATTGTGATGGCAAAAGATAGTAATCTATATAAATTCAGGGTATCCTATCTTATGTTTATTAAATTTGTTTAGTTTAGCACACCACATGCTATTGTTTTTGGTATATCATGGAAGCAATATGCACTGAAATAGTGGTGAAGAAAGGGATGGCTCTGCAGCCACAGCATCTTTTAAAGGAGGAGATATTTTGGATAAACAAGGTAAAAAGACGTTGGTGGTGTGGTGGTACTGTTTGCAAGTTAAAGTTTCACAAGGTCATTAAACATAAGGATATGCCGAATTTATACATATTTCTAATATTTTAGGCATAACTACCAAACTGTGGCTGCAAGTAAATGTCTGTATAGTACTGAAAACCCGGTGTCTGGGCAAATATTTATGCCCAACATCAAAAGCCTTGGTGATTATTGCGCATGCACCATATAATCCTGATGTGATATTGTGCAGCCCTAGCACACGTTGTCCTAAATTCTTTTAAGTCTTTATTATGGCATGACTTTTCTGTCAGGAACTGTCAGATATATTCCCGTTTTTAGGTTTTATAGCTATTCAAGTACCTTTCTCAGTAGTATATCTGGGACCTTAAACCTAGTGGGTCAGGGCTTGTTGTGCTATTTCCCTTCCCTTCCCTCCATGGGTTGGCCACAGAAACCTATTTCAATAATACATCAGGATTGCTTGAAATTTGTCAGGTTTACAGATCTGTGTTGAGAGGGTCGAGAGCAGGAGGAGGCTAAGGGACAACAAAAAACAAAACTGCTGATTGTCTTTTGTTGATGCGTTTGTCATGACTGGCAAGCTGCGCAGGGAACCTACCAACTTCACAGTCAAAGAAATGTGAGGAATAGCAGCCGCCAAATCCAGTCAGAGAAATTTGAGGAATACAATCCACCAAACTCAGAGTCAGATAAATATGAGGAATTTGTAGTCAGAGAAATCTGAGCCTACTTCCTAAAATAGTTTCAAGTGGAAGGTTACAGCAAATCCATCACTGCAAAATATTTGTGTTTTACTTTTAGGTATTAAAATAAAACAACTGCATATACCGCTGAGCCACAGTTGTATTTCACAGCACTTGCCCAGACTGAATTGGCCCTGCTGGATCATGTCCACATGGGGGCAACATGGCTGAAAACACATTTTTTCTTCCCCCACACAGGACTGACAGCTCCTTCAACTTCATGGCATTTTTCTTCGTCTTTATGGCCCAGGTGGTGATCAGCATCATCCAGACAGTGGGAATTCCTGGCTGGGGTGTGTGGTAAGCACTCAGATTGGCTCCAGCTTGAGGGCTAAACGGAGGAGCCGTGTACTCATGCCCTAGTAGTAAAATCAAGTGTCATGACTGGGCAACCGGAAGGGAGAGACGATCCATACACAGGCTTTTAAATATACTGAAGATGACTTTATTACAGAACGAAACTTACAAAAGGGCAAGAAACAAAAGTATCATGAGGGTCAGAACAAGAGGCATGGAGAATCAATTAGGAGGGGACAGGGTTGACCAAAGCACAGGGTGAATGGCAACGCAAAACACTAGCACTGACACTGACAAACCAAGAGTGGGAACTAACAGGAGGCACTGGCTGCAACACTAACATCCACAAGTATGTACACAAGCACAACACTAACAATGACTGGCAGAAAACCAGGGCAAGGGTAGGTACTTATGTACCCTGGTGAAGAGGTTAAACAAGGACCCGGTGCGAGTTATGAATCACTTGATGAGCACATTAGACTTGGGAATAGGGAGGAAGACGGGATGGCCAGCAACATCTGCTGGCCAAACGGCAACATGACGGGCACAGTAGAGACAGATCCTGACACCTGGGACTTCAATTCCTGATCATATGCCCGCCCTAAGGTTCAGGAAAGAACCATCACAAACACTTCTCCGTCCTTGTATATACAGTAAAATCCCGTTATAACGGACTTCAAGGGACCTGGCAAAACAGTGCATTATATCCAAAGTCCATTATATCAAGAGTTGCTGTGTGCACAGAACACAACTACAGGACTCCATTTACTCATGTCACAACCCAGCAGACACACTTGTGGTATAGATTATTATATTGTACATGTAGTAATCCAACTTTACCTGACCAGATGCGTGACTATTAATAATCACAACTACGTATCTGCGCTGGATATCACCGGCACGCCACACGCCTTGTAGGCGGAGCTGCATGTCCGTTATAGCCGAACAGAACTACAGCTAAAAGCAGCCCTGGGGACCAAATTCCATTATATGCGAGTCCGCTACATCCGATGCTTTTTCTGCACGTTCGTAAAGGCGCACGGCCAGGACCAGTGGGTCCGTTATAGACGATATTCTGTTATAAGTGAGTCCACTATAACGGGATTTTACTGTACTGCATTTCTGCAAGGTCATTTAGTTTAGACATCGCCATTAAGGCAGTCTCAGCTTTCCTTCTGGGCTTTTTGGTTAGCTGCATCTTCTGATTTGTTGATAGAATTTTTCCACATTTTAGTGCTTTGTAACAATACTCATCTTACCCAAATTATGATCTCCTATCTTCTCATTCAAGTGTCTTACACTCAAGATCTTTGAGCATGTTATTCTTTCTGCCCCCACAGTGGTTGGCTCGCCACAATCACCTTCTTTGGCACCAACATCGGCTCTGCTGTGGTCATGCTGATCCCTACTGTGATGTTCACGGCCGTGGCAGTGCTCTCCTTCATCGCGCTCACCAGGGTAGGCTGCAGAGGCTTTCAGAGCAGTGTCCTTGGGGACCACCAGACAGTCTACGTTTCTGCTCCCTCTCTACTCCCAGCCAGACAGTCCACATTTTAGCTCCTCCCCAGATCCCTGCCGGGAGCTGGGAGGGAGCAAAAACATGGGCTGGCTCGTGGTCCATAACATGTTACGTTGATTACAAATGTAACAGAAGTTTAACAATGCCTAACAAATGGTTCCTGGAGTCATAGGTGTTCCAGCACATAAAGAATTAGTCTTATGCTACGTTCACACTGCGAGCGGCGAGAGCGTCAAAGCGACCGGAAGTCATTCATTCTGTATGGGAGGGAGCGTCGGGAGGCGTCGAGGAGCGGCGCGGCGCGGTGCGGCGCGTCGCGATCTGGGCGGCGGGAGCGTCAGACAGAAGTTGAATCCAAGCCAACTTATGGGAATGAGCTGTGACGCCGTTGGGCAGCAACCAATGGGAATGTAGAGATGCTCCGCTAAAGAGAGCGCCGCAGAACATAAGCGTGTAAACTTTTGTTCCGACCCAACCGTTCCTAGGCACAATGGAGGAGAGACTTATTATTGCTGTGGCCGGGTACCCAGTTATATATGATGTGTCTCTGTTTGCATACAGGGACATAAAAAAAAATGAGGCATGGACCAGAGTGTCCGAAACAATCGGTGTTCCAGGTGAGAGTGCATAATATATTTTTTTGATCAGTAGTAATTTAGGCGCCATAGCAGAGAAAACAGTGCAAATTATCTGTAATGTTATACCTATTTATAGCATTAGTGTTTGTCAAAACATAATTATGTGTAGAACTGTCGTGATACATTTTAAGTACTATTTATGTTAACTAAAGAAACATAAAGCACAAGCAACTACTTGGCGATCATCCATTGTGATCCAAGGTAAATTTGAAAAGAAGCGCTACACTATTTATATGTAACATTTTCCCTCCAGAACGCTTGATTTTAAGTGGGAATGCAAATAACTGGCTCATAACAATATTTATTTGACAAATTATGTCCTATCAGGAGTCGGCGCAAAGATATAAGCTACACGTTTGTTTGTTTTGCGGCCCCTTTAAAAAGTTCTCAGAGCCTGGCATTCTGAGCGGCCTTGTCCCCGCCCACTCTATGACGTCAGAGAGCGTCTCCGGCGTTGGCTAGCGTCGCGTTCAGGGCGGCAGGAGCGACGGCTGGCGTCTTTGACGCTCGCGGTGTGAACGTAGCATTAGATGTATATCATAAAGAACTTTAAATCTTGAGGGGAACTTCTGTGTTATACTTGATTAAATAGTGTTCTCGTCTCTGTTGTTTTGGGTAAATATTCAGCTGTACCAGTAATTAAAAGTGGAAGATAAATTATTATGTATCAAATTAAAAAAACAACCAAAATGCCAGAGACATCAGCAGCAGAACATAAACAAATAAAGAGGAAAAAACAAAATTGACAATTGAAATGCAAATTTTCAAAAATCACTCAGACCGTTTTAGGGTTGTTTTTGAGAGGAGACTGCCAATGACCTAAAGTCAGGCTTCCTCATCATATGCTACCAAACCTCACTCAATGCTCTTGTAATCCAGTGAAGAACTGTTATTAAATTTTCATTTAATCATTATGTCCCCGGAAATTTCCTCAAAAACATACCCCATGGACAGAGAGAATTTTGGAAATGTGCTCCTTAGATGTCTTGGCTGTCTCTCCGCTTTGCACATTCCTCTGATCATCTCCCCGCAGGTGCACAACTTCTACCGCGGTAGTGGTGGCAGCATGAGCAAGGCCCAGGAGGAATGGGCCACTGGCGCATGGAAGAACCCTCACGTGCAGCAGGCGGCGCAGCAGGCGGCCGTGGGGGCAGTGCAGGGCGCCGCCCACCAGCAGGAGTACTCCAGTGCGCCCGACTATGACTACAATTATGACAATCAGATGTAGGGCACCAGCGGGTTTGCGGGGGGGGGGGGATGAGTAGGGTTAGAAAAGAATTGACTGATAAAATCCATTCAACATCCCTGGTTACATCAGCACTGAATATCCCCTGCTCTGTTTTTTTCTGAAGTGTGCCTAGTTGCTTTCTGAAACTAGTTTATGACGTGGCTGCGACAAGACTCACCTGACACAACCTGCACCCTCCCCCCTCCATGCCTGAGTGACCCATCCAAGCCTCCCATTTCTGTGGCAGATTTTGCAGAATGTCTTTCCCCCCCGACTCGTCTCTGAGCCCCTGGTTCAACTCAGTGAGAATCAGATGTGTGTGAGGCTCACGGCTCTCAGGTCGCACCACTTACCCGCGGCTTGGGAGTTGGCAGATGACAGGTGGATTTTATTCACTGCCGTATGAATGGAAATTTATCAGATAATACGTGATTAGCAGCATTTCATACCAAACTAGGCAAACCTTGCAAGCAGCAGTTAGCAGTTAATTAGCAATTAAATGAAGTACATGAACTATAATGAATACACAAAAAGCATCGTTATTCATCATGGTTTGTTATGATTAGCAAATACTGTACAATTTAGATTTTTTTTATGTTTCAATTTTTTTGTACTTTTTAGTGCTTTTATGTAGATTCCTGTACTGTCCACTATATTTTATTTTATTTTAATGTTGTTTATTTAACCTGGAGTTCACAAGTATTTGCTTCTTTTTCCATGTAGCATCATCATAAAATATAATCAAAATTCATATATGTAGATTGTGAAGGTGCCAACATATAGTTGTTGAAGAGAATAACGTAAGTAGGGGATTATTCCAACCTGTTATAATAAGGAATTCTCTGTCCCTGTAGTTATTAAGGGTTTCAATTCTCAGGAAAACGGGCACATTGCATAGACATAGTAAAATGAACTGTAAACATGTCTCATTTCTTATACTTTAATTTCTTTATATTTGTGTTTTTCTTTATTGTTCAGTTTTGGTAGAGGGACCTTGACCCATTCAGTGCTGAGTGTCACAGTCATACCTTGAGAAGTAACACTTTTTATGTGAGATGAGTCCATCTTCACAGGCTCCGCACCCCATTGTCTTGTGACTCTCTTAAGCTACTCTATAGAAATGCAGTTTGTTCGGTCACATGTCTCGTTTTCTCCCAGTATTACTCTCATGATATGACTTCCTGTGGCTTAGAGAAGCCATAGCCTATCCCAGTGGCCTCAAACTACTGGCCTGCGGGCCACATCCCAGTGGAATATTCAACAGAATAGAGATGTTACATTATACTTTCCTCTTTGACATTTCTCTTTTTGCGCATCAAAAATAGCCCCCTTTACAGAAGACCTCCCAGCCAGTGCTCCCCAGGTAATTTGAGTTTGAGACCCCTGGTCTGTACCCTCTGAGGCTTGTCTGCAACATTTCAGATAAAGTATCTTATTATTGTAGGTATGATGTATGGAATACCAAACCATTCCCGACTTTGGAACAAAACCAGACTCAACTTTGCTGGTGTAACATACCCCAACCCAGTAAAGACAACAGCCTGTGTTTGTGGCTTTAGGTGACAAGTTATAATGTACCTTGTTGACACCAATTTAAGATCATAGCCCAGTAACTACTACATCCCTCCTGTTACACTCTGAGAATCGACACTGCAGGTGAAGAAGTTGGTTAATTAATAGCCTGTACACTCCTAAGTGTGACTTTGAATATACTGTGAATGATTTTAACACATATATTGAAAAATATTACGAATTTCACCCTAAAATAAGATGAGAGCCATATTTACATTTTTGTCTAGCTGACGAGTGATTGGGGTTTAAGGGGCTTTTTGAGGGGCCCGATGATGACATCACTCTGCTGATCCAGAGATTCAAACCTGCAGCCTCCATACCTGCTGAGCCGCACACTACTACAGTGTTGTTATACATCAGGCCCTGATAGTGCTTAACATGTTACTGGAGTCTTTAATTTGTTGCTTTGTTAACTGGGGGTTCTGAACTGCTATATTTAGTGTTGTCTTTGTTACTAGCTAACAAGAACAGATCTGTCAGGCAAATTCCAGAAGGGCCATCAACCTGCTTCCAGAAAAACAATTACCTCTAAAATTTAACATTGGCTGTTCAACAAATACACCTGTAATGTGACACCAGTCTTTCTAAATGGGCAGATACACTAAATGCAGATGTCTGTGCATCTATCTAATGTGCTCAGTTCCTGCAGAATGACCACTTGAAGGTGCTGTTTTGGAAATATTGACACATACTGTATGCCACTTTGGACAATTTAAAGTCAAAACATTATCTTTAGTATCATCCGTATGCAATTATATATATAGGGATTAAATTGCCTGCCTCTAGGTCCATGGTACAACATACAAGACAGGACAGAAGCTATACATACACAGGACCATGTATAGGTCAAATGGCATGACAATACAATGCACAAAATTGTATATTTAAAAAAAGTGCAGCATGATTCAATGAATATACAACACAGTATAAATAATTACACAGTAGACACTAATTATACAGGTCATCGTCGGTATGCGGGAGCGTAAAGGACACGAACCCTTACAGACCCTTCCAGAGTAGCAGCATAAGACAATGTAGCAGCATAAATATAGTGAACATTACATCAATAGAAGCACTCTGTGAATGATAAATTGTGCCGCTGTTTTCAAGAACAGTCCAGAAAAGAGATAGTAATGCAATAAAGTTGGCAGTGAAAGTCGGGGCTTGGGTGGCAGAGAAAATGCTCTTTGTTGAATTGGGATGTTGGGGGACATCAGGGTGATGAGTAGACTGACTCGGGGAAGAAGCTGCTACCAAGTTTGGCAGAACTGGAGATGCCACAGTACGTTTTTCCAGATGTCTGGGGGGCAAAGAGTCCGTGGAGGGGTGGGGTAGGACATCCTTTCGTGACTAATGAGGTGGTGTTGAGGATCCAGTTGAGGTTCTCCATGATATGCACACCCATATATTTAGAGCTCATGACTTTCTCCATGCTGAAACCATTGATATGCAGTTACGAGTGGGTCCTCCTCAAGTCAACTATCGTCTGCTTTGGTTTGTCCACATTATGTAACAATTTATTGTTTGTATTATTGTTATTATTGCTGCTGATGTGACCCATCACTATTGTGTCATTAGCAAGTTTAATGATGTGGTTTGAGCAATTTCTGACGGCAAAACCATTAGTCAGTAACTTTAAAAATTAAAAAATTGATAAATGATTCCACAGATCTTATTATCCCAATAAATTTATTACTGAAATTTCAAGAGGAAAACAAATAATAAATAGCATATTGAAGTGTTTAAGCAGTCTGACTTTTTTAGCCCTGCTCGGTCTCTGAAACACCAATCGAAACTTCCAGTGATTAGCAAGAGCAAGCAACTAATTTAAGCACCTCTGCAACCGAGCACCGTGCTCACTCAGTTCTAAATGACAAACGATCAGACATACGCATGTACTGCTCGTTTACACGCTTTTCTATGCAGAGCAATCATGGTCTATAGTGTGTGTGTGTGTGTGTGTGGCTGTGCGTGCGTGTGAGAAAACTCGCTGGTTAGCTTTCTGAAGTGCTGTAGAATTTTAAAGTTGCTAAATTATTTAGTTTATGACTGGCACAATAGCTAAGCAGCCCACCGGGAATTCTCCCAAGTCTCCCTGTTGGCCACTCTGGGTAATTCTCCCAAGTCTCCCTGTTGGCCACTCTGGGTAATTCTCCCGAGTCTCCCTGTTGGCCACTCTGGGTAATTCTCCCGAGTCTCCCGATTGGCCACTTTGGGTAATTCTCCCGAGTCTCCCGATTGGCCACTTTGGGTCTGCCCGTGACTAGTGTCTTCAAGCACTTCATGATAACAGGTGTGAGTGCCACAGGGCAGCAGCCATTGAAGCAGGGCACTGATGACTCTTTAGTACTTGAATTTCAAAGCATACTGTGTCATTATGACGGCAAATAAGGGTGCTGTCACTTTGATTATTTGGTTGTCATTTTCTTACGGTTATGTTTTACTCACTGCATTGGCCAATTTTACTTCTTCGGTCATGACATTCATAAAAAAAAAAAAATGTATTCTGAATGTTTCTGTACAGCAGCACAGATGTGCCAGTGAGACACACACCAACAATTTGTCCTTTTTGAACTCTGATATGTCCCCCATTATGTTGTTTGGGTTGCAATATTTTATGTACTCTTGTGCTTTTGCTCTGCTAATTCAACTTTCACACTCTCCTTTTACTGATGGAATGTGAAAACTGGCCAGCAGGCCACACATATATAGGAGTGAAACTGCAAACACCATTTTGCCCAGTATTTCAGTTTCATTGTCCAACCCCTGTATGTGTGTGTGTGTGTGATTTATTATATAGAAACGTATATATACATGGGAATATATATGTATACAGGCAAAGACAATGATGTTTAAATGATCTTTATAGTGGTGTAAAACTATGCTATTTTGCCTGACAACGTGTGTTAGCTTTTCAAAACCTCTGCTAAAATTACCCCTTTATATCCAGCGACCATCTGAAACCCACATATATAATAACATTCCTCATATAACTAATTCATATTTCATTGACTTTTATAACTAGTGAATTAATTTAATTAAGTGAGCTGGTGGTGAAATTTAATAAACACATGGAATGGCTGAGGTGCCCCTTAGGAGAGGTTTGGGAACTGAAGCGGTGTTCATCTAGCCGTGCAACTAGATAAATAACTTTTTGGAGAAGATTTTTTTTTTAGTTTTCACACTCACACGTACACTCACACAACTACAGGGCCAATTTAGACTCACCAAACAACCTATCCTGCACGCTTCTGGACCGTGGGAGGAAACTGGAGCCCCCGGCAAAAACAACTACCAATATAAATAGCTTTAAACATTTGTTTTGACTGCCTAAGACTTTTGCCTTTTGTACTGTGGTGTATGTATATATACAGTGTGTGTATATGTATGTATGTATGTCTGTGTGTGTGTGTGTATATATTTATACACACACATACATGTACAGTATATATAGTTTACAAATAAGAATAATTCTATAAAATTCAAAATAGTGTTAGGTTTCTCTGTTATCTATTTCTACCTTTCATCATCCTCTTAAACCTTTAAATGTCAATGAAGCTTGTCCCACTGTCCAGCTACATTAGTCTTCTTCTGCCTTAATGGTCTATGAATGAGTTTCCTCCCTGTCCACATTCACGCACCCTATGAACACCTACTCTCTGTTTTTCTGTTTAGTACTCAGCTTTGTTAATATTCATATAATGAGTCTGAATTATAAATGCCGTTGTATATCCATGAAATAGTCAAGTGTGCCAATTCATTGTGGGTGTGCTGTCGTCCTACATCTCCAGGGTCAGAGGCTTAAGTCCTGGCCCGGTTCCGCGTGTCCAACAAGATGCAATTAGGTGAATTGATATTGCTAAATTGTTTATGATGGTGTACAAGAGGGTGTGGGTATGTGCCCTGTGATGGACTGGTATCCAGGTTGTACGCCAGTCTTGTGTCTTGTGCTGCCTGGCATGGGCACCAGGAACCTAGTAACTCTGAGCAGGATAGTAGTTTGGATGGTAAGTCAACTTAAAAAGAACAAAGTTAATTGAGTGCATTAGTTCTTTGTAATGGATAGCACTGTTGTTTTAGTGCATGAATTCAGAGTGCAACCAAGCAGTTCAGCTTGCTGTCCAAAAGAGGGCAGTGTGTGACTCATTTTCCTTTCTGGCATTTCCCAGAAAAAAACCTTTGGCTCTGGCAAGCATGAGAAGCTGTGCGATCGACACTGCTAGTGTATTCTCTGTGAGCCTGTCTAACTTGTCCAACTATTCATTAAAACACTCCACAGCTCCACCCTGGTCAATTATGGAGACGGGACATCATTCTGCATTACATTTAAAAGCGCTTTAAAAGGACTTGTCTCCATTTCACCCCTGCCCATGCATTTGTGATGGAATCACTTAAAGATGACACAGTGACGCAGGCTCCTATGATGCTGTGATGCTGTGCATTAACTGCGAATGCCCAGCAACAACTGAATATTTTAAGGAAAGTATAGCACTGGCTCAGATTAAAAATGATGAATAAACCCCATTATAAAGAGATGAAGTCAGCACTCCTAGTTGTTTGGTTTAGTGATCATGGCTCACAAATGACATCATCTCAGCAATGTGTATGAGTGGGCTTGGGTGGTGCCGGTTTGACTCAGAACAAAACAGTTCCCAAAACACTGCATTTCACCATCATGTAACAAGCTGCAGCCCATTTTGCGAATGCTGATTTCACGGTTGACCTGAAAGGTCCTCCAACACTGTGTTTTGCCAGCATTTGCAATGGAAACCTAATTAAATGTACATAATCTCATATGGTAAACACATCTTGTGCTGAAATAGGTCAGCTTTACAAAAGACAAGCTTTAGGCCATGTTTATTAGAGAAGACGCCTTTTTCATAGAAGCAGAATTCAGGGCTGACTGATGTTAAAAAGTTCTGGAGGGTCTGTTGACATCCATAGAGGAACATGGGTGGTTACCTTAACAGGACACATCTGCGTGATATTTATTCATGACTGTTTGTTCCTTTGCTCCAGTCATTTGGTATGGAGTGGGAAGTGAGGTAAGGGTTGGACAGCCTAGTTCCAGCTCATTTTCAGAAAAGAGAGACAATGCAAAATCTTGTGTTTAGACTGTAATGGTAACCAGTATCTCCAATTAATCACAAGTGTTGTGTCTTGGTTCTGCTTATCAGCCTAAAATAAGCATAATCTGTGTGTTTTGGTTTTATGCGTGGGTGCCTTGCTGGATTAGTAAAGCATGTTGTTCTCACCCTGCTGTTGAGCTTGTGTGTGGTCCATTTTTCTTTTGTTTATTTGCAGCCAGTAATAAATCAGTTTAGTGCATTTCAATGGCTTTCAGGCTTTTCTTTTTTTGATGGGTAAATTTGCAAATTGTGCCATTGTTTAACAGAACAGTTTCTTATTTAATGTCTATCCATAGGTCAATGTTAGATCATAAGGGAATATTGAACTAATAGCAGAAAGCTGAACTACAGGGGCATATAATGCTTGAGGCTATTTAGTGGTATATGTAAATACAAGTTTAAAAAGAGGTACAGTTATTCTTCATGACAGCAGTGGATGGCAGTTGCTTCCAACATGTAGCGTCACAGGCAAGGCAGGTAGGTGTCTTTTTCTATCTTCATAGCTGTGAGAATCAACGGCAAGTGACGATTCTGCTAAACAAAGCGACTCTGATTGTGACTGGACTCCCAAAAACTTTTGCACAGATATACCTTCAGAGGAGTGGGCAAGGCTAAGACCTGTCTGGTTATCTTTGATCTTGGAGGTCTGTCCATTCTCCTAAAAAATCCTTTTCAATCTGTTTTTTTTTAATGAGAAAGAATGAAAAGAACAAGGAGACAATGTGGCAGCCTAAAGTTTCAGATTTTCCATATAGCTGGGGGAATATGGCATCAAATCGGACTCACCACAACCCAGATTTGAATGTGTTAATCTGATCATGAATTTCATGACCTGAATACCAGAACCTGAATTTTAATATGTTTACCTAAATGTGAATGAAAGAACTTGAGTTGATATTGTTATTATATTATATTGTTGATATGGTAAAAAAAATAGAAAATTTGGGTTGTAAGATGCAGGTCGGGAATTTTTTTTGTTGAAAAATTCAGGTTCATAAAAACAGGTAAAACATCCGGGATGCTCAGGAAGTGCAAAAGAGTGTAAATCTAATCAAGCACAATCCTGGTCAATCACAAAACAGGTCACCGGTCATTTTGGATGGAGGTTTCAACATTCACCACCTTAAGACGGTTGCTAATACCAAGATATGGTTTTTGGTCCATATTGCGCCCCCCTGCGTACCGTAGAGAGCAGAGGAGGGACATGCAGGGTGCAGCTCAGGGATGTTACATGATCCATTTAGACCAGGGGTCTCAAACTCCAGTCCTGGGGGGCCGGAGCCCTGTGTAGCTTAGTTCTATCCCCCTCCACCACAAATAATTCAGCTCAAGAGCTGTGTGGTAATTAGCACAAGGAGTTGAATCAGGTGTGTTAAATGAGGGTGAAGCAAAAACTGTGTAGGGCTCCGGCCCCCCAGGACTGGAGTTTGAGACCCCTGATTTAGACCATTAGGCATGCTACTCATGGCTTTGGTACTTCGACACTTCACTTAATGTATACTACTTTCAACACATCTGTGTTGCTTAACAGAGGAGTTTCTTAAGGTGGACTCAATGTATCATTCTTGGGCTTGCTTTTAGTCAAGCGTAACTCAGGTAGGGAATGGGTCATTA